CTATTACTGAACAGACGCACGGCAACTTGGAATCTAATTGTTTTATATAATAAAAAATTTTTAAAAAGTTTTAATGATGACGTCATCTATAGTCTGTCCTTCAATAGATCATGAGTGAGAATCAATCAGAATGCGTGCATAACTGAGCTTATTATATAAATAACTAATATGCAAAGAATGATGATGTAGATAAAAATTAAGAGTTGTCACTAACAGTGAATGCTGATGTAGTTGTCCATTGATAATTTGATGTATACGTTGTGGTTCAATGTTATCCTTGGTTCAAATGTTATCTTCCTTTGTTTCAAACTCATTGTCATACATTACAATACCCAATTGCAACCCCTAGTCCTTTCCTATGATCCCTTCTCTAGCTGAGCAATCCAGTGCCTCTCTGTTCAGAAACATAATTGAAAGGGGATGGGGAATGCTCAATAATGAGTCATACAACAAGAGTTTAATTTTGTTGCAAATTGAAGCCTTCAAGTACATAATTCGGCCCCATTCAGTTGTAATTTATCCCAACTTCGAGCTCTGCAACTGAAATTAAATTTGTCAGTCCTGCAATCAGTACAGTATGAACAGAGTTCAATCAGTTCTTGAAGATCAGTTCCTGAAGAGCACTTCCTTCTAACAGCTTTGTTAATAGCATGTTTCCGATGAAGGTTAAGTCCGATCAAGCAGGACTCAGTTTCTTGGACCTCATCTTGTATTGATAAAATCTTCCGTCGATCGCTTGACACTGGATTATTGTACCAAAAACTCCACCTGACACTCCGAATATTCCTATTGAATCACTCTATATGAACTCAAATTTGAGTGCCCTCCTAACGTACAAGTTAACCTTGGAGCGGAAGGCAGTATTGGCCGCTGAAATCTCCTTCCTCGTATGAAATCGAATCAAGCCAAGGCAACGACAACCTAATATTCGGCGCTTTTTTTCGGAAGCCATTAAAAACGTTGATTGAGCTCGCGCGACCCAAGCGCTTGACACCGATCCTGTTTCTCTTGAGAGTTAGCACAATAGATTCAACTGACAGGAACTTTATCGGTGGTGGAAGTTGAATAATGGGACCTCGATTATTCATCATTCTTGGTTTTTTTTTTTCGAATTATTCATTATTCTTTTTTCAATTTTGTTTGGTATTCATTCTTCTCTATTCCATGAACGTAAGCCAGATTTTTCCTTGCTAGAATCGATGTCAGGTCTAATTCATGATTATACATTTGATTATAAGTATCACACTGTCGCATCATACCACAAGCTACTGCCGCACCGTGCTACACACGGCGATCTTTTTTTCAAACTAAGCTGATGTTGTATTTTTCGGTCCTATGGTCATTATTATCATTATTATCACAATGTAATTTTCGCTTTAACGGAAACTAGACGCTCGAGGAGCGTTAACTCGGGCTTCGTATCGAGCGTTTTACTTGAGCATCCACCACCGGATAGTTTGGAATAATTGACTCTAAGCAGGTCTCGCATACTGGGGCTCTATATTTATTCAAGGAGTCATCATTTTCTTCTTCTTCATTACCATTTAATTTATCAGTTTCTCTCGCATCATACACCAATGCAGCATCACTATCTGTCGTTGCATTGTTTGATGTAGCCTGTTGATGTGTATCATTATCGTCTGCATCATTTTGTAAAGCCATGAGATAGCTATCAATATTGTTAATATCAACTAGTATATCTATGTACAATGGATTATGTACTTTAATTTGAACTAGTTAAGAACTTGCTTGAAAATAAACATGTCCTCTAGAATGTAACTTTCTTTGAAGCTTAAGTATTATTATACCAGATCTGTCAGGTGGATAAGGGAGTTTATTATATATCTGATCACATTCTACAGGTACATTGCATATTGCACCTTTAATTTTTCTCTGTTGTCCTTTATACATGACCACAATCTTCTCAAATACTATTCGTTGAGCTATTAGCATTTGTTCTAGTTTTTCTAGTAAGGATAGTTCTTTGAGTATTTCATCCACATACATATTATTCACTACAGCCTGGCAATTTTCCTTTTATGACCTTTGAATGACATGTGTTGCATATATACTGTTTTCCATCAAATGACTGTTGAATATTGAAATATGTTTGGCAAGGGTACTTCTTAT